ATGTATAGTACCCAAGTGGGATCTAAACGGCCAAGGGGATTCAGTGATGGTAACATTTATTTATATATGAGATATTGTACCATTTTCCTACAGATCGTTAAGTTAAAGCCGTGAGTATAAATGAGCTTATGGATAGATGTTTCATGGTGACAACCCCATACATGATACGCTGGTAAAAAAAACAAAATGGCCGAATGAACGAACGATCTGCGCATCACCCATATTTTTTTTTCTCCCCGGCGATTTATGGTTACAGAGGTCAATATTGTTTAAATGTTTCTTATTTTCGAATTTATATATTTTTAATTCCAAAATAAAAATGACATGTTTAATCAGTCATTCATTATTAACACACAACCTGACAACCAGTCCTCCTCCGCGTTCATCAGCTGTAAACAGTAACAACACCGGCGACCATGATTTCAGCTGGGTTTTCGTCCACCTCCGGACTAGTCTTGCTCCAAAACCTGAGTGTTCTTATTTGCGTGCACATCTGTTTGCAGACTGTAACTCATGTATATGCAAACTCTTGGTTCCTTTTCTCTCAATGACTTAGGATGAGGATGCCCCCCCCCCCCCCCCCAATTTGTTGACTCCTTGTTGGGAAGGCAGTGGGTCTGTTCTTATTTATTTGATTCAGTAGGTCCCCAAAACCCAACTTCTAGTCCAAGATTGGTAATAGTAATAAATTTAAATAAATATTAACATTAAAATAATCTTAATAAATATTGATGATGACAGGGTCAGGTTTGAGATCTAGAAATACCTGTGTGGGTTCCGGGGCACTATTATGGGGAAAACAAGAATAGACCCACTGCCTACCTAAAAGCATGTCGTAAGAGTCGACTAATTCGGAGTTTCCTTTGAAGTCAGAGTGCATCTGCCTTAGAGGCAAGGAACCAGCAGTCTGTAAACAAATGAGTCAGATCTGTAAAACGGATGCACAAGCAACACTCAGGTTCTGGAACAGGACTGCAGTGCAGAAGTGGACGAACAACCAGAACATTTTCCGCTGGAGTTTACAGCTGGTGAACGTGAAGAAGAAGATCTAGAAAACGGGAGTCCTCAGACCAGAGTCGAATAGTAAAGTTGATAGATATAAGATAGTTTGTCGACTGTGCACACACTTTCTCGTACATTGTATGAACACCAAAAAAAGTCATAACACCCCTAGAATATGGGACTTTCTCAGGAACTACGTAGGAAATCTTGGAGGAACTACGTAGAAAATCTTGGAGGCCCCGAGATGGGGTGAAATAAAGGATCTGAAATATAAATGCGAGTATTAGGGGCGGACATAACAAGGCATGCTGCAGGAGATGATAGAAAATAGACTTGACGTGAGTGGGCTGAGGCTAGAGTGCAAAATAAAAAGCAGGCTTGACTTTATGGCATAAATCATGATAGGCATTTAAAGGAGTTGCGCTGATCTCAGAGGAGAACAGGTTAACAATTGTAACTGGTTCATATTATTGATGCATGTGACTCCATTCTCAGTTCCTGATGGCTGGAACAGTGGGGAGGATATGAGCAACAGTGGAGATGGAATGTCTGAGACCAAGAAGAAAAGACGGAGTCGATGGAACACTGATAACGATGACAAGATTGTTATTCCAGGCATGCCTACAGTTCTTCCTCCAAACTTGACAGAATCCCAGCAGCGACTTTATGTTCGTAAGTTTTTTTTTTTTTTTTTCTTGATTTCTGAAAAGTGCACTTGAGATAGTTATGATTTGTATTGTAAATTGTCTTTGTTCTGTTACAATGGCAAATTTACTCATTCGTGAAAATGCAGGGTTTGAATTGTGCAAAAAGTCACGCACACTTTCGGTAATAAGCACATTTATCGCCAGGATGAAAACGCCATAAAGTACCTTTACACTGTGAAATAGCTTTGATCTTTTTATGATAGTTTATATTGTGTTTCTTAGGTTATCATCTGTCTACAGCTTTGCCTCCTGCATTTCTAATCATTTCTGATACAAATATTCTTCACTGCTTTGGTGCCATACCGTCAAACATCTCTGTTGGTCTTTCCACTTCTTTTTCCCTCTTGCAAATGTCCCGTTGTTACTTAGTTTAATTTTCCTATTCGCATGATAAAGAATGTGGATTGTCAGCTTCCGTCGTGGGTACTAGCTGTCTTTGTGAGCCCATGTTTTCTTCATTGATTTTGCTTTTATTGTCTGTCCTGCTCTCATAATTCTGACTGTGATGCACATCTCATTGACTTGCACAGGTTCTCATTAATCTGAGGACTATCCTTGATTTACCTCCATGCATCTTTATTGGCTTCGTTAGAGCCATCTCACCTCTACATTCTACATTTAAGTTCTACAAAAAATCTTTCATCTTCTATCAAGGTACTTAAAAACAGCAGATCAGCTTCATGTAGACCAGCCTAAATTACCATTAATTTTAAGATTTAATTTTCTTACATCTGTGGAACCAAAAATAATGCTACTGATTACTTTTTATTTTGTGTTTTAAGAAAAATACTTAGTACACCTGTGATTGTGCAAACTGCCTTTTAAATTCTTTAAAGACATTTTACAGTGAGTTGATCACTAGTCTCACCTTGTGGGCTCCTCGGCCCCATTGTCGGGAAAACAAGCATAGGCCCACTGCCTTCTCAAGCATGTCGTGGGATTCAACTGATTGAGAGCTTCCTCCAAAGTCGGAGTGCATCTGTCTGAGCAGCAAAGAACAACCAACTACACAAATAAGGCAGTAAAATGCATATACATGCAGAACTAGGCCCTTCACAAAGCCAAAGTCCAAATGGACAAACTTCCAGGGCTTTCTGCCGAAATGCAAAGAGGAAGATCATAAGACTATATCCTTACTATAAAGTAACAGAAGTAAGTTGCCCATTCAGAGCTCTTGATATGCATTTGTTTCTCAGAGTTATTGTGCTTTGATGCATAGTGCAACATACTGTGTTAACTGAACTGGTGTTCGAATGATTTTAAAAATGGTGACATTGGAGATCAGGTCAGATTTGTGCTGTTACAAGAGAAAACGCTGCTAAAGAAATACATGAGGAGATGGAACCACTGTGTTGAGATCATTGCTCATTGTGCGTGTAGATTTTAAATACTGGTATAAACAGTGTTAGTTTGGCTGCTCAAATATTACTGCTGTGCCTTTCCTTCAAAGTCAAGAATGCATTTGCTTGAGGGGTGAGGAACTAGCAGTCTGCATACAGATATGCCATATTTGTAAAACGGATTTGCACCAACTACATTTCTGAGAGACATCTAGTGCAGTAAACCTGAGTGAAAGAACAGTTAACAGAAGCTTGCACAACAGAACATGTGAAAAGTACTTTGCTGGGTTCTGCACCTGTTGATGTGTAAATAGAAACAAACAAGGATCAATTGCTAGAGAAGGTTGCTCCAGCCTGAAAACTGTTGACGGTTATGGACTGTAGATGAGTCTTAGGTTCACTGCTAGGTCCCTGATCTTTATCATGACCTGTCAGGCCATGTTCACATAAATCTGCAGGGAAAATAATTCAGATGCTTTTTGGCCTGCCAAGAGGGGCCTTACTGAAAGATAACCTCCCCTGGAAACACAGTTGGTGGACCACTGCAGTATTTAAATGTCTTTGCTTAAAGGCAACTTATGTAGAAGCAACCAAGGATTTGAAATATTATATTCTTCCACCCTCTTTTCTGAATTTGACTCAGATTTTTTCATTTCTAAAATCATCCTGGCAGGTGATAATTGGTTTAGTTCAAATGCAAGGTGTTTGTCTATCCAAGGTCTTTTACTGGTTAACAGATATGGCATAAATGTGGCTGTAGCAATTATACAGAATTTCAGTTCTCTGTGATATTTTCACTCATAGTCAGGCTAACCACTTATGATTAGCCCCTTGAACCATTGTTTTTAAGTAAGTTACTCTTTGTTAAGCTCTGTAACTGTTGATGTTATTTGCAGAGAAGTAAGATCCACAAACGTATGTAATACAATTGAAATTCAGCAATGAATATATAAAATGGGAATGACTACAAGTAAAAAGGACACATTATTCATATATTTAAGACCGTTCATAAGAAACCAGGGAAATAGCCACGGCTTTGCAGAGATAAAATATAGCATGAGTAGCATGTAACAAACTGATATGTTGCAACAGCAAAAATATATGCTATACCCGATGTATACATCAAAGAAACTAGCCCGTATATTGTATAATGTATAAGCTACTGTAGAATATGAACCAAAATGAGAATTTATATAGTTTTCTTTTAATGGTTTTCATTAATTGGCTGAATTTTGTAGAGGTTTTAGTTTGCTTGGGGCATTTGACTGATCACAGTTGTGTGAACTGTTCATTAGCGTCATTAGTAGATGATTAGTTCTGCTAAATGTGTTCATTTATTGATCAGGTTTTTTATGTGTGTGTTTAGTTCAGCTGCTTAAATATGTCCCTTTGTTGCAGAGACAGTTCATTTAATAATTGAATTCACAAGTTTTTAATATTTATCAACTTAGATTCTGTTCTTTGAAGTCGTAATGCATCTGACTTATAGGCAAGTAAACAACAGGCTGCATAGATCTGTAAAATCAGGTCCTGGAGCAAAGCCAAAGTCCAGAAATGGATGACCAGCCAGAACTTTCAGCCGGTGATCGCAACAAACAACTTAGTTTCTTCTATTCTCTTGTAGATTTACAAACTGCAATACAGCTAGAATACAAAAACTATGTAAAAGACACTATTAGGCATGCAGCTGCACACTGTAAAGTGATTCTGTGATAGTATTCAACAGCTGATGCCTTAAAATCCTTTTATCCCTGGCACTTTTAGTTTGTAGTTTCCTGTCTTTGAAACAAAAGGAGGAAAGAATAGTCATACATTTGCTTGAAACAACAATATTTGAGTCTTTGTGTAAATACAGTACACATTTATGTTGCTGAATTGTTGATAATTAAGCTCATGTTATGAAGTACTGCTTGACCTTAATGCTAATTTCAGCTGATACATTTTGTCTTCTTTTAGGTTTGCTTTAAAAAATGTTTCTATTGTTTTGTTTGGTGTCTTGGAATTATTTTCACTTTATAACATTCATACCACAGTAACATGTAAACGTTGTTAAAAATCGTTTCAAATTAAGAACAGGTTAGAAACAGGTTTTGGAATTGTATTGCTGGGCGTCAGAACATTTTACAGTTATAGTGGATTATATAGATTTTTAACAAACACACAAAAAACCTTTTTAATGGCTGGCAGACTGCATAGAGCAAGAGCACGGTGATGACAAAGAATTAAATTTAGATTGCTTTGGTGAGACCAGAGCACTGATTTGATCTGTGATTTTTGGTGATCAAGTGAGGTGGTGAACTATAATGGCAACTTACAGGATGATGATATAGGCTGTTAAAAATGCATAGAACAGTAAATTGACATACTTTACAGATTTAGAGTGGAATGGAGTAATTCAGGTAGTTTTTTAACTGCAGAATTAGCGCAAACCAGTTGATTTCATACATATGGGATAAATCCTATTTGTTCTTTCACAGTGGCGGTGATTGTGACATCGTGGGTGCTTGTCCGGGATCAGATACTGTATAATCAATTTACCTACACACAATTGTTGTGTCACATACAATGAAATGTTGCTTATTGTTCATTTGAGAACCTAATCAATTCAGAATAAACAGCATAGGGCAAGTCCGCTACGTGGTAAGCCATGCACCAGCAGCCAAATATGGTGTCATGTTACACATAACATGGTTTGTCTAATACTCACAGGTTAAAGAAATAATAATGGCTTTTTGCAGGGGTGTCTCATATTATTTATATTTCCAGTTGGAAAGACTGGACAATTGTTGTTACTTAATTGTGTTAGTTTTGATGTAATTTTGGCTTTGTTAACCACTTGTTTATTTCAGTTCAGCTACAAATTGAGGAAATTACCCGTAAGCTGAGATCAGGGGATCTGGGGATTCCTGCTAACCCAGAGCAAAGGTTTGCTTGGTTTCATGCACAACAGATCTTAAGTCTTTTCTTGTATGCCTCTGGAGGAGGCACCCAGCCTGCGCAGATTACTGGCTCCTGTGGTTTTACTCTAATTATTACCACTGTATAACAGTCTGATTTTAACTCAGCTTGACATTCTGCAGCTGTCTCCACGGTGGGAAGTAACCATTTAATCACATATTATTATGTCTTTGTAGTCATACTTTTATCCTTCAGCCAGCAAAAGAATGTTTGTATTGATTCTGTTGATATATACTTGTGCCTAGCTTAATCAAGTCATACTTCTTTGCAATTACAGTTAGTTTTGCTTTTGTTTATTCTTCTATGATGTTGATAGTGGTATATAGGCTTGATAGTACCTTGATACCTTTCTTTCACACTAATGCGTTCCTGGTGCAGGTTGCCTAGACATATGGATGCATGGATCATGAACTTTTTACCTTTGTCAGATTCACAGATAGTAAATTGTTTAATTCCTAGAATTTTAGCCATTTAGCCATGTTAGCCTCGGTCAGCTTCACAGAAACTGAACTCATAATTCTGTCAGATCCACAGATAGTGAACTCTTTTTTTAAACTCTGATTCACCTGTTTAATGTTGTCAGATCCTCAGGCAGTGAACTGTTTAATCCAGATCTTTAGGCTTAACACCGTCAGATCCTGTGATAGTGAACAGTTTAATCCAGATATGCAGGCTTAACACTGTAACATCTACAGGTTGAACTCAGTCAGATGTGCAGTTGCCTAACTGGCTCAAACCTGGTAACATGGCACAAGCTTGGAATAATATACATGATTATAAACAACTTACATACAGTGATTTGATGGACTCACCAAGGACTGACACTCAGAGATAAATTGTTAGAATGCCTGAAAAAGAGTGAGAAATAACTGGCTGGTAAATGATTTAGAAAAAAAAAGACAATCACCAAAGACTATCTTGTCTTAATTTGACAATCATTTATTTAAACGGTATGTGCAATGCCAGTTTCAAAAACCATTTACATAAAATACTTGACCAGGATGCCTTAATATATATATCATTATTGGTGGTGAGCCATACAAGGAAATATGTTATTTTAGTTACTTTTAATTGCTATATTATTTATTTGTGTGTTTAATAACTACCTTTGATAACTATAATCACAGGTTGTATGTAATAACTTTGATCATATGTTTAATAATTTAATCACACATTTCAGTAATTAAAATGAAGTTCATAACTTATCTTCCAAAATTTGCAGGGAAACTGAATGATTATGTAACACTTAATCTTTTAAATTTGTGAACTAAGAAAAGGAAATTTTTTTTTTAAATGTGCAACATTCCATCTCACTAACCACTCTCTCTCTCTCCAACGACCAGGAATAATCTTAAATGTTAGCCATGTGACACTGTTTATTTGTAACATCTGTTAACATGTTTTAAGAGATTGCATTATTCATATTTCTTGTCTTATAATAACTTTGAATTCAGAATGTAACCACTAATCATAATTCAAAACCTCTTTTCTCAGATGTCATAAATAACAGGTTGTACTTCATCCTTAGCAGGTTGTCATCAGTACGCAAAGTGAAAATAATTATAACATTTAAAAATAAGTATCGGTAACATGTGTGATCATAGTTGCTTACTAAAGCAGTTATTTGTTAATTTTTAAATTAAATATTTAGAATGAATAATAATAGAATAACTTGTGTTTGTGTTAGTAAACAGCAGTTGTGTGTCTGTGGAGTAATTCGCATTTTCTCCGTAAATGTAGGTCCCCTTCTCCTGAACCCATCTACAACAATGAGGGCAAGAGGATGAACACTCGGGAGTACAGGACACGCAAGAAGTTGGAGGAGGACCGGCACAGGCTCATTCAGGAGTCGATGAAGCTGAATCCTGACTTCAAACCACCTAGTGACTACAAGTAGGTTACTGTTAACCAATTTTGTGGGTGAATGAGTGAGCATGTCGTCTCATGCCATTATGTAGTAAATTTTACTTCACAGCCTTTAAAATCTAGAATAGTATTTCTTCCTTTATAAAAGCTTATAAATTTTGGTTTTGTTTTCCAAGTCTTGAGTCATTTCTAAAATGCGGTCTACATGTGCATGTTTTATTTTCACCAAAGTCGGATAAAGCCAGGCCTATCCACTACTCTACTATGAGAAGGGTGGATCCAATCCCTGTGTAGTAGAGTGGGATCATGTCTGCTTAAGCCAAAGAGGTGCCTCTAAGCTACCTCATCCCTTTAGCAGTAAATTATTAAATTGGCATAACAGGAAGTCCACATTAGTATTGTACTAAGCATACCAAGAAAATTATAGGAAGAAAACATGTGCATGGATGTGTGCTCGCGCACACACACACATTACTGAATTCTTCTCCATTCATCCAAAGATGTCAGTGCTTTGTGCCTATTTTCAACAAAGCTGCGGTATTTGCGCCTTTCAGCCGACACATCTGATTTTTGCAGGGTTAGCCTTCCTGGTTGATTACTCATTTCAAACCATTAATCATTCAAAATATAATTGTAAGTGGTTATTTTCTTGTAGAAAAATAACCCAGAATATCAAACTTAATGGCTGCATGGCATTCCTATGTAAATTTCCACAGGGTCTGCATATTTGTGGGACTAGTCAGAGAAGGAATGTGAGTGAGTCCTGCTTGGAATAAATGAAAGTCAATCATTTAATAACCTGGCGGTTCTGTCGGTCATGGGAATACCTTTTCTATACAGGCCTCCCTACACACGCACGCACACACACATACAAAAGAATGTCGCTAAAGCCAACTAATTAAAGGTTTGCTGCAGTTAGATGGGTTGACCCAAAAAGCTCAGTATTGCAGCCTGTCTGTAAACCACAAAACCGTGTGCCGGCCGCCCTTGTGAAGGCAAAGGAAGAAGGCGAGGCTTTCTCCGTCCGCACACAGACTAGTTGAGGCTTTCTCCGTCCGCACACAGACTAGTTGAGGCTTTCTCCGTCCGCACACAGACTAGTTGAGGCTTTCTCTGTCCGCACACAGACTAGTTGAGGCTTTGACTATCCGGGGAAGTGCTGGGGGCATGGCCTGGTGCTTTGTTTCTGTATGTATCACGGTGTATGCCTTAGGGAATGGCCACTCTAAAACTGAACAATCTATGCCATCTTCAAGACCTCAGTGCCTTTATTTTCCTTGATGCTTCCATGCAAAGTGATCACTTAAATCCGGCAGCTGAACAAGTTTGTGCCGGCAGAAATAACCTTATCCTAATGGTTAGTTAAGACATAGAGAAAGAAAGCGGTTGTGATAAATATTTCTTATTGTGCAGTATATTCATGTTTACTGACAAATTTGATGCAGTTGTGTATATAAATCATGTTTATGAACTAAAGGGCCCCTTTGACATCTGTAGTGGATCAGACATGTGATGGTACACTCATATTGTTACAGACCGCTCAACACTTAGTAGGTGATATGATTAACATCACACCTGTCGTTTTTACCTCCCAAGACATTACCTGGTACCCATTTTAAGCTGAACCAGTGTCATTTACAAATCTGAATATCCAAATTCAACCCCCAAGACCTTTGGGCTCAGATGAACATCTAGCTGCTTCACTACCGAAGCTCCCAGCTAATGTTTCAAATGATGTATTCTGATGGTGTCAGTGTTAACCTACTGTTGTTTTTATAATGTTGTTGCATTTGCTATTCTCACCTACCATAAACATATTTCCAGGCCGCCAATTATTCGAGTCAATGACAAGGTTATGATACCCCAAGAGGAACATCCAGAGATTAACTTTGTGGGACTTCTTATTGGACCACGAGGCAACACTTTGAAAAATCTAGAGAAGGATGTAAGAATCTGTTTTAAGTGTTGCCTTCATAAATCCTTTGTTAATTCTCTGAACTTTTCTCAGAGTCCCTCCCTCTCTGATTGTGTCTCTTTGCTTTCTCACAGTCTTCTTCTTTCTCTGTCAGTCTGTCTGTGTATGTTTCAGCTTTTCACACTGACTTCTCTAAGCTCATTCTCTCTCTCTCTTTCTCTCTCTTCCCCCCGCCCCCCTTTGCGTGCGCGTGTGCCACTCACCATTTGTCTGTATGTCTGTGATCAGGATCCCCTTTCACATTTCTCATAGTATGAAACCTGCAATGGTATTTGTTTATTTTCTTCTTCACAACTTTTGTTTTGCATTTCACTAGTTTGTGTACACATTGCTGTAGTATTGAGACACCTCAGTGTTTGTTAACTTTGAAAAGCCAATGAGTCACCTCAAGGCATTTGCTGTAGGTCACAGAGCATTTATGGGTGTGCCTGGTGTAGCTGTGATGTCAGTTCTTTCAATCAATGTCAAATCTGCATCTAACTTAAATACATATTTAAGTTGTTGTGCATTCATTTCTAAATTTCTCTTTCAAAGACTGGAGCCAAAATCATCATTAGAGGCAAAGGTTCTGTGAAAGATGGAAAGATTGGACGTAAAGATGGGCAGCCTTTGCCTGGAGAAGATGAGCCGCTGCATGCGTATGTGACTGCCAACAACCCAGAGAATGTGAAGAAGGCTGTAGAAAAAGTGAGTCGGTGGAATTAGTTTTGTCTTTTTAAAATCAATAAGTACTTGTATTTGTCACTGGACTTTTCACAAATGACCTTGGCTGCTAGGTCGACTCAGCCTTAAATGGGTTCCGGCTAAAGTCCTGGGAAGTAAAGATGGCCGGTGTGATATTGACCTCATCACTTACCGAGTGCGATGCAGTCTATAAAGCTTAAGCCCAGCTCTATATGCTCAGTACGCATAAAGGTTTAGTGAAGGTAAGAGTCCTTTCTTTTTACATGTATTTGTTCCTGCAAATTTGAGCTTCAGTTTATTGTAGCATGGTAGAAGGGTGACCTGTGTGACATACGTAGCTAAGTCTCTGTAAAATGATGAATATTACGACCTCCACCAGAGCAAACAAGTACCTAATTTGATTAGGCATAAAATATACCATGTTGAAACGGCACTTGTTACATACCATGCTGAAACAGCACTTGGTACATGCCATGCTGAAACAGCACTTGTTACATGCCATTCTGAAACGGCACTTGTTACATGCCATTCTGAAACAGCACTGTTACATACCATGATGAAACGGCACTTGCCATGCTGTTGCGCCATCTGAAGATAGGAGATAACTGATTATTGTTACTGGAGTGATGAAGTGTCTTTACAAATTAGAAAGGGGAATTTTATTGTTGTCTTCCTTGATCACAAGATGACTGCTTTTATTTGTATATTTATCTATGTATTTATATATTCAGGAAGACATTTGGTTGAGGAACAGAGTAACTTGATTATGTATTAAACATTTGCACCTTTTATATTAGGTTTTTAAATTTGATGTCGCTGCACATTGTCTTTATGGTTATGTAAATGGGTAGTCAGTGTTTGTCGGTTAGATAATCTAAAGAATAATCTAACATTGTCAGTGTTTGGTCTCACTCAGATCAAGGAGATCATCAAGCAGGGCATTGAGGTCCCCGAGGGGCAGAATGATCTAAGGAGGCAACAGCTGCGAGAGCTGGCGCTACTCAATGGAACCCTGAGGGAGAACGATGGATTAGCGTAAGTTTATGCAGCTAAAATATACGCTAGGAATGCTTACCTGTTGTCCATACAGTAGTGCATTTGACAACCTAATCCTTCAATGACTAAGTTTTTTGTTTTTTTTTAGCTTGATTTTTATTTGTAAATAGTGTCAGCCTGTTTTGTGGATTACAGGGCATCATACCCTGTAAGAGTAAAAGGCCTTCGGTATCCAATGATTTCCTTAAATGGGACAACTTAGCAGTAGAGGTGTATCCTTACTAATAGGTGTGTCCTCCAAGCAGTTAAGGTGTACAGCAGCAGACTTTGAGAACACCCTTTTCAGGGATTCACATGAGGAACATTCAGGGAAAACAGATTTAGGGAAGCACATTTGTAGCTTTGGCATTAAAGCATCTCCTGTATGACATGTGATTGATTCTACAAATGCTGACTTGTGGAGTTAAAGCATCTCCTGTATGATATGTGATTGATTCTATAAATGCTGACTTGTGGAGTTAAAGCATCTCCTGTATGACATGTGATTGATTCTACAAATGCTGACTTGTGGCATAAAAGCATCCCCTATATGACATGTGATTGATTCTATAAATGCTGACTTGTGGGGTTAAAGCATCTCCTGTATGACATGTGATTGATTCTACAAATTCTGACTTGTGGGGTTAATGCATCTCCTGTATGACATGTGATTGATTCTACAAATGCTGACTTGTGGGGTTAAAGCATCTTCTGTATGACATGTGATTGATTCTACAAATGCTGACTTGTGGGGTTAAGCATCTCCTGTATGACATGTGATTGATTCTACAAATGCTGACTTGTGGCATAAAAGCATCTCCTGTATGACGTGATTGATTCTATAAATTCTGACTTGTGGGGTTAAAGCATCTTCTGTATGACATGTGATTGATTCTACAAATGCTGACTTATGGGGTTAAAGCATCTCCTGTATGACATGTGATTGATTCTACAAATTCTGACTTGTAGGGTTAAAGCATCTTCTGTATGAGGTGATTGATTCTACAGATGCTGACTTGTGGGGTTAAAGCATCTTCTGTATGACATGTGATTGATTCTACAAATTCTGACTTGTAGGGTTAAAGCATCTTCTGTATGAGGTGATTGATTCTACAGATGCTGACTTGTGGGGTTAAAGCATCTCCTGTATGACATGTGATTGATTCTACAAATTCTGACTTTTAGGGTTAAAGCATCTTCTGTATGAGGTGATTGATTCTACAAATGCTGACTTGTGGCGTTAAAGCATCTTCTGTGTGACGTGTGATTGATTCTACAAATTCTGACTTGTGGGGTTAATGCATCTCCTGTATGACATGTGATTGATTCTACAAATGCTGACTTGTGGGGTTAAAGCATCTTCTGTATGACATGTGATTGATTCTACAAATGCTGACTTGTGGGGTTAAGCATCTCCTGTATGACATGTGATTGATTCTACAAATGCTGACTTGTGGCATAAAAGCATCTCCTGTATGACGTGATTGATTCTATAAATTCTGACTTGTGGGGTTAAAGCATCTTCTGTATGACATGTGATTGATTCTACAAATGCTGACTTATGGGGTTAAAGCATCTCCTGTATGACATGTGATTGATTCTACAAATTCTGACTTGTAGGGTTAAAGCATCTTCTGTATGAGGTGATTGATTCTACAGATGCTGACTTGTGGGGTTAAAGCATCTTCTGTATGACATGTGATTGATTCTACAAATTCTGACTTGTAGGGTTAAAGCATCTTCTGTATGAGGTGATTGATTCTACAGATGCTGACTTGTGGGGTTAAAGCATCTCCTGTATGACATGTGATTGATTCTACAAATTCTGACTTTTAGGGTTAAAGCATCTTCTGTATGAGGTGATTGATTCTACAAATGCTGACTTGTGGCGTTAAAGCATCTTCTGTGTGACGTGTGATTGATTCTACAAATACTGACTTTTCATCTAAAATTTTTACAGGAAACTGCGTCAGATTGCAGAAAGTCAAACAATTGTAACCAACACGATCGTGTGTACAATATGTGGAGGAGCAGGCCACATTGCTCAAGACTGCAAGCAGAAAAGGTAGAAGAACTCTTCTTGCTTTTATTTGTGCATACATTCATTGTGTAGCTGTTTGCAATCAATTGTGAGTGTCTGGATGTGACATTGGCTAGACTTAGTGTTGACAAGAAATGTTAGCTTTATATGTGAGATATAACATGATTCCAGTGTATGTTCAAAGTTTACCTTTACGGAGGTCAGTAATAAATATGTTTAAAATGCTCAACTATTTTTAGGTAATGTATTCTTTTCCGGCCTATTAAACATTATGCAGGGCACAGATAAACCAGTACAAAAAATTTTTCACTGGAAAATATTACTAGGTTTTGGGGGTTTGGACAGAACCAGAAGTGCTCATTTATATATATATATATTTTGTACATGTAACATGCAGATGAATATCATAATGTCTGGACATATGGGGAAGATGGCAGAACTTATTAATTATTCTGTGCATGTGAAAACAAACAGCTGGTTAGTTTAATGTTTGCATAGACTTGAATAATTGGTCTCCCTTCTTTGTTAATTTTCCACTTTTTAATGTTAGCTTTTGGCTGGTTTTCTTTAAATCTTTGCAACTAGGACACGCTGGGACACAAACAAATTATTAATGATGGTCATATTTTTATCTCTGAAGGCCGGGAGACACATTCCGGATGCAGCAGATGCAGAATCCAGCAGAAAGGGCTAAGATGGATAGTGAGGTAAGTAACCAGGCATTGGCGGGTACTGTAACGTCATGTTTCTGTGCAGGATGGCGCAATGTGTCCGCCTTGTTGGGACTGGCATATTCTTATGCAGTATTGCGAGTAAAATGCTAGATTTTACGCTTTACTGTTTGCATTAACAGTGAGCTGCAATTTTGGTGGTGGACTGTTAATTCTGGCATATCTGATGACTGCTTTATGCATTTACTTGGCATATGCATGCTTTAGGATTTTATCACTAAGGACATTTTGTGAGATCTCCAGTTGCACAAGAACGGAGCACCTGCCTGCAGTGAACTTGGAACCTTAACTAACAACTTAAGTCTGCCTTCTGAAGACAGTCATGTATTTGGTAGTTTAGTATCACAGGTTTACTGTTCTGTCACTGAAACCATCTCTTTGTGCCGTTAGTTTGAAATATTTCTGCTGATATCCTACGCTGTTGTCAGTTTGTGTTTGTGGTCTTCCATTTTTGTCAGTGTAATACCATGTAACATAGTGCTTGTTTGAAATGTGACCAGGAAATCAGTTTCTATTTAATGCTGGGCATCCTCGTGTGGGTTCTTAGGTCCCATATTGGAGAAACACAAGAATTGACCCGGTGCCTCCCTAACAAGCATGTCGTAAGAGTCTACTAATTAGAGGTTTCCTTTTAAGTTGGAGTGCACCTCCTGAGAGACGAGGAACCAACAGTCTGAGCCAGATTTCTGAAACAGGTGTACACATGGAACTCAAGTTTTGGAACAGAATTAAAATCCAGAAGTGGATAAAAACAAGCAGAACTTTCCACTGCGGTTTATAGACAGTAAATGGGAGGACAAAGAAAGCCATGCATACATCTTCAGATCAGTGTTTTCCAATAAGTGAATTTACAGTGAAAAAATAAAAGAGTTTTTTCCCCTGCTCATTAAATGTTGTCTCTTCATGGACAATGAGTAGATCACGGAAACAGAAAATCATTGACCAGCTGTGAAATAGGTCTCCAAAAAGGTCAGCAACGCCGCAAGAAGGCACAGGGTCACAAACAGCAGCATAAGAGAAGCTTGGAACAAGACCAGGCCAGCATTAACAGACAGAATCAGATGGTTTGGCCAGCTAGTAAGAATGCAGCCAGGCCAAACCTTAAGAGAGACCTTCTGCAACAGAGGAAGAGATACGATAGACTCTGTAACTGAAACCTGCACAAATGTTAACAAAACCATCACTCAAGACATCTGAATAGAGGAAGTTAAGAAAAGTTAGTTCCGTATCCTTTACAGGACATTGCAAAACCAACCCCAGCATGTTTTGGCTGTTGTGGTTTTTCTAGGCAAATTTTACATTTAGTAGTTTGCCGTTGCTTTCTAAACAGCAGCTTTTGTCCCACTGTCGAAACAAACGCAAGGCAAATCATCGCAGCTGGAATCGAACCTGGTACCTGACATTACGAAGCATGTTGGCAACGCCTAAGCCACAGACAGCAAAGGGAGGATACAAAAACAACATGATACCGCACTACCATCCAGTAACCGTTTTGAGAAAAGACAACAACTATATGTTGGTGTAACTGAAATCACAAACATGACAAGATAAGCAAAATATGCCAGGCATTTAATTGTGCAATTTTTTTTTTTGAATCTGCACGATTTCAATACACATGTATATCTTCCTCAAACACAAATGTTGTCTAAATAAAATGCATTTCTGTCTCCAGTACATGTCCTTGATGGCAGAACTTGGAGAAGGACCGCCACCACCCCCTAAGTCAGAGCCAACCAATTATGCTCCCCCAGTCTATGGTCGCACCCTGTTGTCACATCCACCTCCAAATCCTATGGTAGGTTTCATGTGCCTGTAGAATGTTTTATTTTAGCGTCCTAATCTGCCCTTACACATCTGCTGCATTTCTCACTAAACAACAGTCCAGTTCAGGTCCACTGGGACATGTACCCAGTCCACAGCTGCAGTTGTACGCCCAGCAGCAGCTTGTTCGGTTATACCACTGCTAAATGTAGTGTTAACACAACTTGGTTATACCGCTGCTAAATGTAGTATTAACACAACTTGGTCATACCGCTGCTAAATGTTATGTTAACACAACTCGGTCATACCGCTGCTAAATGTTATGTTAACACAACTCGGTCATACTGCTGCTAAATGTTATGTTAACACAACTTGGTCATACCGCTGCTAAATGTTATGTTAACACAACTTGGTCATACCTCTGCTAAATGTAATGTTAACACAACTTGGTCATACCCATGCTAAATGTTATGTTAACACAACACAGTCATACTGCTGCTTAGTGTAATGTTAACACAACTTGGAATCAACATCTAAAGCCACGGTTCCAGTCATAGTTTGGGCTATATTTAGTTTACTGCTGATGAAGATTCTGGTTGAAACATTCACTTGTATTCATGTGTCTTTTTTTTATTCGCTTTGTTAAGCTTTCGGGTCACATTTTTTTTTAACGTTTAGCACTAATCAGAATAAACAGCACAGGGTTTATAGGATTGTAGTGTGTGTGTTTTATTTTTTTGTGGCAGAATTTCAGGTGACAGTTTTGTTTAGCCCAGCCATGCATCAAACAGTACTTGTTAGTTTTGCATGCAGTCCCTTCTTCAGAACTTGAGTCTTGTGTGTCCCATTGTGCGGCAAACAGGAATATACCCACTGCCTCCCCATCACGCATGTCGTAGGAGTCGACTAAAGTTGGGTACGTCCTTATTTGGAGTACATCTGCCTGAGAGGCAAGGAACCAAGAATCTGCATACAGATAAGCCAGATCTGTGAAATGGATGTGCACGCAACCCTGAAATTCTCGATGAATAAGATTAAAGTCTGGAGATAAATGATCACCCAGAACTTTCCGCTGGAGTATACAGCCAGTGAAGGCGAAGAAGAAAATAAGATAATGTAGTCAGAATTTTCCCTCCCCCCCCCCCTCTCTTTCTCTCTCTCTCTCTCTCTCTCTCTCTCTCTCTTTCACACACACACATACATTAATTATGGTTTTTTTCCTCATAAACTGTTTTGGGGGGGGGGGGGGGTAAATTGGCAGTCTCGCCAGAACCTCTTGTTTGATTGTTTTGGTTTTCATGAATTATGACCAGTTTTTATGTTAATTTAAATGTGTTAAGGCTCAGTTTGATTTTCTGATTCCTTATTCTTTGTCCTCGTCTCTTCATAATATTATAGGATTACGTGCACATAACATCGTTATCAGCTTAGCTAGCTTTCAAATTTGTTATATATTGTAATGATGTCCAAATTGAGTATAATTCTGATGCTTCTTTCCTGATGTGTTTAGGCGATGAATGCACCGTGGCAGATGAACAACAGACCTCCCATGGGACCTCAGATGTCTGTTCCCTTATTGAATCGACCTCCAATGGGCATGCCGCAGGCAGCCCCTCAGATCAACCCCATGGGCCGCCTGCCCCCACCCTACATGTCACAGACCATGCAGCTACCTCCCGGCATGCAGCCACCTCCCGGAATGATGCCTCCGCAAGGAGTGGCACAGCCTCAACAGCCCCCACCCATGATGGGAGGAATGGCAAACATGCCTTACATGCAGCAGCAACAGCAGCAGCAAGGGCCTGGCATGATGAGACCTTGGCAGTCGGCCCCAGTGAGCCAGCCCCAGAACATGATGTCGGTCAACAACACAATGACCAGCACCAACTCTTTAGGTAGGTCCCTCGTGGGGGGGGGGGGGGGGGGGGGGGTAATAGCCTGTGATTGTCGTTTTGAAATTGTAGGTCTACTAATTAGAAATGAGCAAATGAATTTTATTTCCAAAGAGTAACAAATGACAATGGAGGCCCACTATACATTCAGCCCTTGCAAACATTCGCCTTTCACACAGTAATAGTATTTTATTTTTGAAACATGTTATGTCCATATAGCAGTATGCACAATACGAGTATTAAAAAAAAAGAAAATGGATGGCAACCATATACACTCGGACATACATGTATTATACATGTACGCGCGTGTCTATGTGTGTGTAGAAGTACATATGTGTTGACTTCCACAAAGAGTGACACCCCATTGATCACTAAATAGATCTACAATGAGCTGAAACACCAGGAGAAATCACATTTGGCCTAGCTGCCTGAAGTTTATTCTCTGTTGGGAAATAGAAACAGAAGATGGGTAGACTGCTGATCATAGGACCTCATCAGAACTGAAAGCAATGGTGGTGGAGGAATGAACATCACCTGAAGATGCTGTTATATAAACAGATGGTTCTGGGATGGTCTCAAGCCAAGTGCGTGGGCTTCGCGGCATGAACTGAAGGACAAGTCATCAAAGAAAACAGTGGAGCCTCTACTTGTACCACCAGCAGCATGACAATGGAGGTCATGGCTGTGACAAAGGCCCTAGAATGACTGAAAACTCGAGGATTTGCCTATGCAGCTTTCTCAGCGACCCAGTGAGCATGCTACAGAATATCAAGACGGGTCATACATGAAAAAGTTGGCTGAATCTGATACAGCACGCAGTGTTTCGCAAAATATTCATTTTTGTCCCAGGTTATGCTGGTGTGAAAGGCAGTGAGAGAGCAGACGCTCTGGCTGGCTGTGTGATTATCAGGAATGGGCCCTCCGTGGACAGGAGAGACATCATTCATGCCATGCGAGAGACTAAATGCTGTGGGGCTTTCACTTTTGTGGAAAATTATTTTTTACTGAGTAGAATGCATCCCCTGGGTGTACCAGTTAAAGCTGCAAGACAGGAAAACAATGAGGGAGCCACCCGTCATTACATCAACCAGAACAGAATGGTATATGTAAATTCTCATTCCCTACTGTATGATATGTTAACTGAAACTTCCGCATTCACAGTTGTTTTTATTTCTTAATCTTTCCAATGACAGGAGTGCCTGCGCCCCCTCCTCCACCTTCTATACTGCCACCTCCCCCTCCACCTCCAGGTGGCCAGATGCAGGGGCAGCCGCCCTCACAGTGGATGCAGCAGGCTCAGACAGGTGAGAGTTGCTTGAGCATGTCCATAAACTCCACCACACAGCTGGTTTGTAACACTCCTAAACAGTTCATTGTGATTATACGCACCCTCACTGCTGGTGTGGTAATACTATAAAATGGATGAGCATGGTTGCATTGAACTTATTACTGTCCCTGCTAACACGCTGTGAAACAGTTAATTGTCTACACATTCCATTACACGGCTGTCCTAGTACCACCCTGTGAAACAGTGCATTGTCTACACATTCCACTTCATGGCTGTCCTAGTACCACCCTGTGAAACAGTGCATTGTCTACACATTCCATTTCATGGCTGTCCTAGTACCACGTTGTGAAACAGTTGAATGTCTACACACTCCATTACACGGCTGTCCTAATACCACGCTGTGAAACAGTTCATTGTCTACACATTCAACTTCATTGCTGTCCTAGTACCACCCTGTGAAACAGTTCATTGTCTACACATTCCACTTCATTGCTGTCCTAGTACCACCCTGTGAAACAGTGCATTGTCTACACATTCCATTTCATGGCTGTCCTAGTACTACCCTGTGAAACAGTGCATTGTCTACACATTCCATTTCATGGCTGTCCTAGTACCACCCTGTGAAACAGTTCATTGTCTACACATTCCACTTAATGGCTGTTCTAGTACCACCCTGTGAAACAGTGCATTGTCTATCTACACATTCCATTTCATGGCTGTCCTAGTACAACCCTGGGAAACAGTTCATTGTCTACACACTCCATTTCATGGCTGTCCTAGTACCACCCTGTGAAATAGTATGTTGTCTACACATTCCACTTCATGGCTGTTCTAGTACCACCCTGTGAAACAGTGCATTGTCTATCTACACATTCCATTTCATGGCTGTCCTAGTACAACCCTGGGAAACAGTTCATTGTCTACACATTCGACTTAATGGTTGTCCTGGCGCTGACCTTTTCTATAAGTGGAGTTGTGGTGACCTGGTAGGTGGTCCGCTAGCCTGCCTATCAAAGCATGTCGTAAAAGGCAGTTATGATTTTGCTGAAATCGGATGTGCTGGTCCAAAGGATGCAGACGTCGCAGCCTGTCTGTGAATGATGACACCACTAGCCAACAGCTTTTATAAAGGTGAGTATGGAAGATGATGTTTTGGGAAGGAAAGGTGGCATTTTAGAGTACTGGGCAATCATCTCATCTGAAGCAAATAGAGTGTATGCTTTACACCACTTGTTGTAGTAACTCCTGATGCTTTATCTTTTATATATGTATTTCTGTACATCTTCTGCGGCTCTAAACTCCAGAGGAAAGTTCTGGTTGTTCATTTACTTCTGGATTCTGTCTCGTTCCAGAATCTGAGTGTTACGTGCACATCTGTTTCAGGTCTGACTCATTTTTATGCTGACTTTTGGTTCTCAAGCAGATATATTCCGACTTCATAGAAATCTGCCAATTATTTGACTCTTGCGACCTGCCTTTAGGTAGGCAGTGAGTCTGTTCTCGTTTTCCCCACAGTGGGACCCTGGAAACCCACACAGGGACTTTTTTATGTCCAGCATTTGACATAAATATATCAATGTCTCGTTGCAGGTAATTTGGGTGTTCAACAGCCACCCAATCCCCCACCGCCACCACAGCAGGCATCACCTGCCACATCCCAGTGGCAGCAGCAGCAACCGGTGTCTCTAGCTCCCTGGCAGCAGCAGCCTGCAGTCTCCTCGGTGATGTCCATGCCACCCATGCAGCTGTCGGCACCGGTTCAGTCAACGCCGCTCATGACGTCAGGCGTTCCTCCACCTCCTCAGCCTGGTGTGGCACCACAGTTCACTTCATATGCGCACCTGCCCCCGATGGGTTTCAACAACCAGAGGATGCCCAGCATGACCCAGATGATGATGCCGGGTCCACCTCCACCACCACCACCCAGCTAGACCAGGGTCCACCACCCAGCTAGACCTGACCAACATCTCCCACAAGGCAGAAACAGACTTGTCCCATCATTTAATGCTGACAGGAAATAAACTGATTGCTTTCTATGCTCCATGTTCATTTTTTTTTCTTTGTTGTTGCTGAAAACAAACATGTTGGGCCAGAAGGTGCAGAACTCTCAAGCCTAGCTGTAAAACACACATCATGCAAACTGTCATATTTACGGTGAACCAGGAAGAAGAAGAATGTAGCTAACTTGTTTTGTGAACATGTCTGTTGACAGAAATATTATAGTACCACAGTGAATTATTTGGTTGGAAGTCTCTACCAGTGGACAGAATATTTATCTTTACACAGACCCATATGCTTCATGGATTTATTTGTCTACCTGTTTTGTATCTGTGTATATTGTAATGTTAAAAAATAAGACATGATGAAGCATTTCATTTTTTTTTTTGCCAAGTTACCTATTCTGTCAGATTTGCATATTTTTCCTGTGTGTAATTTGTTTTTTTAAAGATCACAATGTTGCTTCTGGTGAATTTTGCTTGCTGCATTATTTGATCATGAGTGACCCTGAGAGCTCAGTAAATGCAATATTGTGGACAGAATGTGATAAATTACCTGTTAAATATATAGATGCTGTAGTCAAGCCTGCACATGTTTTGTCATTAAAAAAAAAATACTGTGGTATGGGTTATATATGTGGTCTGTTATGTAAGAGGACGTTCCATGTCGCCTGATACAGTTGGAAATGCTGGTGACAGAGGGTCCAGTGGATGTTTTGTAACAGAAAAAGTGTAGTGAAGACGTCTTAAGAGAAATTGACTCATAAAGGCAACTGATTATCCACAGCAGGAGGAGAATCTGCATTGTTTCACCATGTCATGAGGAGAAAATGAGAAGATCATGACAGTTTAAAAGTTGGAGGGGAAAAGAGCCCGAAGGAGATAAAGTGAGAATATGCTGAATATCACGGCATGGAAGATTCTCAACGTTGTGGATGACGTGACATGGTCTAAGAATGGTAAGTAAAGTCAAAAAGTAAAGATCCCTTTTCACGCCTTTCGGCGCATCGGGCATATGGGCAGAGCGTCCCATATTTTTACAGACCATCAGCACTCTGTGGGTAATGTGGTCAGCATTACGCCGGCTGTCTTTACTTTCCCAGGACAGCCTATCCTGGTACCCATTTTAGGCTGGGTCGACCTGCGACGTCCCATACCACGACAAAAATCCACGCAACCTGCAGTGGGTTTCGATAGCTGTATGCTGGCTTACGAGTCGGACTCGCAATGCCTTAGCCACGGACGCTCTAAGAATGGTAATTCGGGTTATAGTTTAGTGTAGCCAGGGAGCATGCGTGGCTGACATAAAGGTTAGAATTGTGAGAAACCCAGGGTCAAATCCCTTCAGTAAGGCGGTGGTGGCTTCTGCGCCAGCTGTGCAGCCATACATTTCTTTTTTTCATTCTAGGGAAAGAGGAAAAACATTGAGATTCTACACATCAAGGAGAACTTGGTCATAAACAGCGTCTTGTCCTGAAAGTTGAACTATTTTAGCCACATCAAATGTCATGGTGGCTTGAAAAAGACAGTAAGGAATGGGGCAGCCTGTGGAAAGCAAGGCAGGGGGTTGACCTCTTCGAAGATGGATACAAGACATTGAAGATGCATTGGCATTGAAAGCACATGGGATTGGAGAGCTGGTTAGGGAAAGGGATACTTTCAGGCTTGTCGTGAAAAAGGGGCATTCTGTAAAAACGAATGATGATGAATCTAGGGGTCAGTTTCTGCCTGCATGAGTCCTATCTTTTCATGTCTTTCTGTACATGTCATTGTTGCCACAATATGTACCCAGGAAATGAGCAGTTTTGGTCGTAGCTATTCATTTGATGCACAGCTTTACACAGAAAGGATGCAGAGTTTTGAATAAGCATTTGATGTCAGTATTAAAAACAGCTTGTTTCAGACTCCCTACTGTTGGAAGTGTTTGCAAATATTGCTGTATTGTTGTTGGTTTCCAAGATTGGAATTCAGTTCTGGAACACGATTTGATTTGATTCAAGAACTGACATCACAGCACTCGAGGCATTCCCATAAGCGCTCTGTCCCCATCTTCAACAGCCAGCCAAGAGTTCTGATACTAATTGTGCCAGTAGCATTCTGAATAAACGTCCGTCTTGACCTTCCTCTGAGCATCTGCCAGAACCTCTCGTCACTTCCCGCTGCATCAATCTCTGGTGATCCATCTGCTCCTCCGAACTGTACACGCTCTCCCACAAGGCACTAACCACGTCTACCTTATCATGTATCAGTATTTTACCAAGTTGTGCAGAGCCAGCCAGCTAGTCTGTCCGCCTGTTCATTTCCCAACACACCGGTGAACAAATCCAGACAATACTCCTCACCTGAGTCCTCGGCAGCGAAGCATGCCACTCTGCACGAAGCTTGCCACTCTGCACGAAGCATACCTGTTCTGATCTTCCTCAGCATGCTTTCTGAATCAAGTTAAATCACGATGTGTGTCGTGTTCTCTAGCCAGCGGAAGGCTGCAGTGACCGCCTCCACCTCCATTAAGCTGGATGTTGTGGTATCATATGTTAGGCTCTCCTGCACCAAACATTGACCATTAACTTTTGCTAAGAAGCCCCAAGCACTTCTTTTGCCTCTTGACACTGAACCGTCTGTGTAAATGATCAAATCCTCTGAGCGAGCATTTTCTTGGATTAATTGCTAAATATCCACCTCTGTGGCACCTGCTGGCCAGTCTCTGCATTCCCGGCTCAGCGCGATCATGACTCTACACAAGTCTGACTGTTCAGGTGGCACTTTGACCCACTCTTCTCCTCGCCTAATGTTCTCAAGGATGCAAACCTGTCTGATCGTGTCTTCTGCCTACGCCATCCATGACCTCCCTCTTATCAGCCGCTGACCCTCAACTGCACCACGAGCTTCATGCAGAGGGAGGTCTGTGTCTGCAGCTACCCTGAGATATGAACAGGATTAACATCCAGAAGTGATGGACAACTAGAACATTCCAGCCACTAAGACAATACTGGGCGCTAACAGTGGCTAGACATTCACTTGCCAGATAGTCTAAGGCTCAAATCCACATCTACCCTTGAAAAACGAACCTTGGCTCCCAGATGTCATGGGAAGTAAAGGCAGCCACATAAAACAGACTGCATCACCCATTATTTGTAAAAAAAAAAAAAATACAAGGCTACCAATATATGCCTGCTTGTGTTAAAGCAATGGTCCTTTTGCACTTACTGGCCATTTGTGATTTTGCAGAGGAAATCAGAAAGTGCACCTCTGAAGGAGAAAGTGGAAAGGAACAACTAGACACAATACCGACTTCTGAAATAGGAAGTTGAAATGCACAGCAAGCAGCTAGTCTCTTGAAAACATGTAATCCTAAAAAAAGTCACCCACACAGCAGTGGGTCACTTAAACACCTTGTCACTTGGATTGAAACAACCCACAAGTAATCCTAAGAGGATTGAAACAACCCACAAGTAATCCTAAGAGGATTGAAACAACCCACAAGTAATCCTAAGAAAAGTCACTCACACAGAAATGGGTCACCTGAACACACCTTGTCACTGATTTTAAAACAACACACATCCTGTCATGAAAAGCAAAGTCCTGTGTTATGACTTAGATTTTATTATATGAAAAATAAAAATGTTCTGGCAAACAATGTTCAGTCATCCCAATCACACTTGACTTCTAACCTGGAATCTCTACCAGTACATTCACGCCTTACTGAACACTTCCATAAATCAGCACACACAATCTGTGGTTGAATATTCTTAATCTCAGTAAAGTACTATAATGTAGGAATTAAGAATTATAACTAACATGTGTTTAGGATCAAAAAACAAAGTTTTAGTCCATTCAGAAATGGACCATTATTTGAACTGCTATAACAATCATTTAGCAGAAATGTCTGAAAATCTGCAAAGCTCTGCCACATTAAGACGAATGTATTTTTAGCACATAAAGTTTGCATTTTGGATTGTGCAGTGAGTATCCGAACAAGCAACTGGACATGTTCCAGCAGACATCACATGCTGTACTTGTTCATGATTTCAGCCTCTTTTGGCGAGAAATTCCTAAACCTGACAGGGGTATCATGAAAGCTGGAATACATGACATAATCCACTGCAAACTATATTGAAGAGGAAAAAGTATACATTCTAACTGCTTTACAGAAACATGCCACCAGAAAAACTGCTGTAGAAACCTTTTTTCCACCAAATTGCAATGATGCTGAAAATATATGTGTAAAAATCTAGTGTTGATCTATGCAATGGTTGCTGAGACATTACATGAAGTCTGAAGGCACGTGTCTGGTTTCTAAACGGACTACTACTTCATGGTCACTGGAAGTAAGCGCCAGCGGAAAGTTTTGGTTGTTCACTCACTGCTGGACTTTGATCTTGTTCCATAACTTGAGTTTTGCATGCACATCCATTTTACACATCTGGCAATTTTATGCAGAATGTTGGTTCCTTGCAGATATACTTCAAAGAAAACGCACATAGTGAGTTTCCCTTTGGTTTTCCAAGTGGGTTCTAGGGCTCCATTTAAGGGCAAAAGAAGAAGAGACCCACTTTGCCCAACATGTCCCCAAAAAAAAAAAAAAAAGGCAACTAATTAGGTAACAAGTGTTGCTTTATTATGCACCTAAAGAGATATCGCAAAATAATTATGCAATCTCTTTTTTGTCTTCCTTATTTAAACAGTTTTAATTTAAACAAAGCCCCCTAAACATTCAATGGTATTGAAAAAACATGGCCATAGACATTTTTTATTTGTCTTTTCATCTTTTGTTTAAAAAAAAAAAAAATGCTTGACTTAGCCCAAAAATGGTTGGTGACCAGCTTTAAGACAGAACTGCAAGGATGCATTTACTTGGATTCCACTCAGGTCAATGAACTGATCAATTCACTTATACAATTTTTAAAAAAATTTAAAGGAAAAGGGGGGGGGGGGGGGGGGGGGCAAGACAAGACCCGCACTAATTTTCAAATATTTGTTTTTTAAGTTATGAAAAATCTCACAGCACAGCCATCACTGCGTCTCGTGCATGTGTTTATGCATTCACCTTATCTGTGACAACAATCACTGCTTCTGGTGCATGTGTTTATGCATTCACCTTATCTGTGACAACAATCACTGCTTCTGGTGCATGTGTTTATGCATTCACCTTATCTGTGACAACAATCACTGCTTCTCGTGCATGTGTTTATGCATTCACCCCTATCTGTGACAACAATCACTGCTTCTGGTGCATGTGTTTATGCATTCACCTTATCTGTGACAACAATCACTGCTTCTCGTGCATGTGTTTATGCATTCACCCCTATCTGTGACAACAATCACTGCTTCTGGTGCATGTGTTTATGCATTCACCCCTATCTGTGACAACAATCACTGCGTCTGGTGCATGTGTTTATGCATTCACCCCTATCTGTGACAACAATCACTGCTTCTCGTGCATGTGTTTATGCATTCACCTTATCTGTGACAACAATCACTGCGTCTCGTGCATGTGTTTATGCATTCACCTTATCTGTGACAACAATCACTGCTTCTCGTGCATGTGTTTATGCATTCACCTTATCTGTGACAACAATCACTGCTTCTCGTGCATGTGTTTATGCATTCACCCTTATCTGTGACAACAATCACTGCATCTCGTGCATGTGTTTATGCATTCACCTTATCTGTCTGACAACAATCACTGCTTCTCGTGCATGTGTTTATGCAATCACCTTATCTGTGACAACAATCACTGCTTCTCGTGCATGTGTTTATGCATTCACCTTATCTGTGACAACAATCACTGCTTCTCGTGCATGTGTTTATGCATTCACCTTATCTGTGACAACAATCACTGCATCTCGTGCATGTGTTTATGCATTCACCTTATCTGTGACAACAATCACTGCGTCTGGTGCATGTGTTTATGCATTCACCTTATCTGTGACAACAATCACTGCTTCTCGTGCATGTGTTTATGCATTCACCTTACCTGTGACAACAATCACTGCATCTCACGCATGTGTTTATGCATTCACCTTATCTGTCTGACAACAATCACTGCTTCTCGTGCATGTGTTTATGCATTCACCCCTATCTGTGACAACAATCACTGCTTCTCGTGCATGTGTTTATGCATTCACCTTATCTGTGACAACAATCACTGCTTCTCGTGCATGTGTTTATGCATTCACCTTATCTGTAACAACAATCACTGCTTCTCGTGCATGTGTTTATGCAATCACCTTATCTGTGACAACAATCACTGCTTCTCGTGCATGTGTTTATGCATTCACCTTATTCGTGACAACAATCACTGCTTCTCGTGCATGTGTTTATGCATGCACCTTATCAGTGACAAGAGGCACCAAGTCACAAATGTTCTCAGAATAAACACAGCATCTACAGCTTAGTAAACAGTCTACTATGCCTGTAAAAGGAATCTCTGTAATGTGTCTATGGAGAACTGATTCCACTGAGACTAACAGACATTATTTTTTAACGGTTTAAAATGTTCAAATTGTCTACAACAACATGTCAACTGACCTCTTCAAGTTGTTAGAAACTTGTTAGCGAAAAAAATATGCAACTTTCACAAATGGAAATCTGCAAAGTCTAAACATCTGACCTCAGCAATACTCATTTATGAGAAAAAATATCTCCTATACTCGTATTCACTACGGCTTCCGTACAAACATACACACAATTGCAGAACACATACATGCACAGACAGCAAACACTTGCCTAATGCACAGGTTGACAACAGGACACATGATGTTCTATCTGCTAGGATCTGCAGTATATATTGAGTTGTCCAATTTTCTACAGCTTGCTGGAAAGAATACAAAAGACTCCCAGTCTACTAGACCTGGTAGGAATGCCCAATCTTCAAGGAATTAAGAGATCCTCAAAACTTACAGGTTGTCCTGGAACTGAAGAATGCAGAGCGGATGAGGCTCATAGCAGATTCTTGAGATAACCTGGACAAGAACAGAATTTTCTAGGTACACCATGTGAACATTTGAAACAAAAACTGCAGGGGGAAAGGGAGAGGGGGGGGGGGGGGGTGTTTAGTTAATTTAACCCTCAAATCACTTGACCAGAAAGTTTGCTCCTGTATGTTGTTTATGTAAGTATACACTGAAAATGCACTGAAGGCTTGCCATTAGCACTGTCTTCTGAACACACTTGTATCCAGAACTCTTGCCTTCCTTCACGGTATTTAACTTCACTGGTCTCAAGCAGATTTTGACAAATTCTTGATTACTGCCGCGGCACCCCTGTGCATGTTAAGATGTTCTTTTGCAAATGGATGTTTGCATTTTTGCTCAGACAGAAAAAAGCACTGAAAATTGAACCCTGGTTTCTTGCTAGACAGCCCATCTCTCTAATCATTTAGCTAGCCCATTCACTGCAGACCACATAAGTACCCAAATGAGGTTAAGACTGTCTTAAGAATTTGAACTCAAGAATATGACGGCATCAGAAGACATCAATATCAATTAACAGCTTTTTAATTATAATGCACTTCCAAACACACAATAACATATCAAATTACACACTCAACAGACTCATTTCCCATACATACACAACTTCCAAACCTCTAGTGCACACACAAACACCTTCCACACACTGCCTAGTGAGCATGCGCGCACACAGCACCTTCAAAAAAAAAAAAAAGTTGACAATACTACCAAATCTGTCAACAGGGAAGGATGAGGAAAAAAGACTCAAATGAAAATATGGCATGTTGTCAACACAAGTTTGGCAAAAAGGAATCGAGGCCACGTGGACAGGCCAACGTGCTGGATGCATGCTCCATCCCAAACAAATCTCGAGACACGGTCCACACTTGAATCAAATGCCAACATGCCGGATGCATGCTCCGCCCCAACCCCAAACAATTCTCGAGACACATTCAACACTTAAATCAATCACAATGTGAAAATGAAAAAAAAAAAAAAAAAAACGAAAAAAAATACAAAATGAACAAGTGTAAGAAATATGTGTCCTTGTAAGGCAATCAGAGAGCTGGACATAGCTGGGGCTGGCAATTCCTACAGGAATGTTAACATGTGATCTGCTTCTCATGCGTATGGACTACAGAAGGGCCAACAAACAAATGGTCTAGGAGTATATGAATTCTCATGCCCCCAACACTAACTATGATGTATGTGTCAAATGTCTGAAAAGATGAACCAACACTACAAATGGATGTAATTCGCCTCAAAGATGTTTCAGTGTTGTTTTTTTTCTTCCCAACGTGATTGCATAGAATAGAGCTATGATTACTTTCAAAACCAGGTTTTTCAAGAGGACAACTTAAAATAAAAATGCCCCAAAAATCAATGAAGCCAGGTATACTTTGAGTGGACAATTTGTTTTTAAAGTAAAATTCTGTTATCAAATGTTGGCAAGTGTTCAAATCAGGCATACACAGCCATCTTTTGCCGACTGATGATAAATGTCTGGCCAACTCACTAGTCAGCTTTAATATAGTGCACCAAGCTAGCTCTAATGTAATAACGAAATAGCTCTAAATGTTAATTAGCCAGCTGTAACAACTTGCTGTGCTGGCAATCATTTACCATTAGACTTGCGCAGCTGTAACACAACTTGCTGCACTGGCAATCATCTACTATTAGACCTGTGCAGATGTAACACAACTTGCTGCACTGGCAATCATCTACCATTAGACTTGTGCAGCTCTAACACAACTTGCTGCACTGGCAATCATCTACCATTAGACCTGTGCAGATGTAACAACTTGCGCTGGCAATCATCTACCATTATACTTGTGCAGCTTTGTAACACAACTTGATGCGCTGGCAATCATCTACCATTAGATTTGTGCAGCTCTAACACAATTTGCTGTGCTGGCAATCATCTACCATTAGATTTGTGCAGCTTTAACACAACTTGCTGCACTGGCAATCATCTACCATTTGTGTGCAGCTCTCAGTTTTAACACAACTTGCTGCACTGGCAATCATCTACCATTAAACTAGTGCAGCTCTAAGTCTGAGGTCAACACAAGCAAGTCAAGTTAACAGCTGCTAGAAGGCTCTTCTGCCTTTTAGCCATACATCTGAGTTCCTGTCGAGGCTAAATAAAAAAAAAAAATGTATACTAAGTCTCCTAAGTGGAACCAGTTCTGGGCTGTACAAGAGGCTGGAGTGATATTACCTACAACGACCATTAGTCTGAATTTATGGGGCTGGCACCACAAAAACGCACAAGGGTAAAGAAAAGGCACCTTTAGAGAACAGGCTTTCTGTGTAGATTCCAGAGCCCCATTTTGGTGGGGGAAAACAAACCTACCTCCCGCCCAAAACAAGGATTTTCTTCACAACTAATAAGTTCTCTGAAGTCAGGTGCCCAGTCAATAGGTGTAGATGTCGTAGTCTGGCTGTGAACCACAACACACCAACTGCTCTTTTTAGGACAAATGCAGAAAAAGATAGTAGGTGAATGTTAATGAGACATGATACAGTTTAACTCACAGGTCACAGAGGCAGAGTAAGTATGACATCTCTTGGTTAATTAACAAACCAAGTTATTTTCCTGAAGATGACAAATCACTAAAGACAATCTCGATAGTGCAGTGGCACACATGACAATCAATGCACAACTTTAACTATAAAAGTTATGCAGTCAGTCTGCAAACATTTTACCTAATTAACAGCAAGCCAAGAATGGGCAAAATGCCATGTTTCTGCCCTAACAACATATCACCTGATTTTACATGATCAGTGCGAACATCAGACATTCCAGTGCTGAAAAACTGACTGATTTGAAGTAGCAAATAGACTAGGTCATTTTTTGTTATCTTTTTCCGTCCTAATTCCTAGCAAGATCTTATACATAAATAGCCCACTTAGTGCAGCAAACTGACACAACTGGTCACATGTAGCCAGCCTGACCTGGATCCAGTATCAAAGAACCAATTTATGTTGTTGTCCCTAGACTATTCTGAAGGGCTTCTTCTTGTATATATTATCATATATATCAAACATTTCTCACAACGTAACAGCTGAACACTGCCACCAGCAATGATGCCTCTTGTTTTCAAAAACTGCGTGCCTCCTCCACACTGAAGGCTGACTGCACACGCATTATCGCCTCTGAGAATATGTACTGAGGCCCCAATCTCCCCCACAGTGCCACTCTTACCACTGTCCATAAACTACAAGATTTTTTTGTTTTGTTTACACGCCCTAGTTTGGAATGGAACCAGAATTCTTTAGGATCATGGAACTGCACTCAATAGCTTCTAAGCGTGTCTGTTACGTAATCACACAAAAATGTGTATGGATAAGGATCTGAAACAATCATATACTATATGCTGTATTTCTCATGTGGCTGTGCTGAGTTATGTCCTGTAGCTTCTTCTTGCCTTTGCGTCTAGGGATACCAATCAGTTCACGCAAATTAATCATTTTATCTGTTTATCAAGTTCTAGGGGAGCCACCATGGTCTAGCAGCATAATTCTCTGGCTGCAGAGTCAAAAGTTGTGGGTTTGAATCAAGCCAAATTATTTCTTCAAAAATGACCTTGGCTCGCAAAACTGGCTCAGCCCTACATGGGTGCCAGGAGAAAGTAAAGGCTGCCGGTGTGTGGGTGACTTGACCCATCAAGTGTCCATTGGTCTATTAAAATGCTGAAGTGCCACCATCACTAACCTTTACTTTCCATAAGCACCATTACTTTCCGTATATATCACAACTTTCTGTGAGTACCACTATTTTACTGCCAAGTTGTAGATTTAGATATAAAAACAGAACACTAAAGGACCCTTTCCCACATCTTCAGCTGTACTGGACCTATATTCAATATACCAATCGACATGTGGTCTACATCATACCGGCCTCCTTTACTTCCCAGGACTTTGGCTGGTACCAATTTTATGTTGGGTCGACCTGGAAAACCAAGATTTATTTTTTAGTCCGGCTTCGAACCCATGACCTTTAGATCCACAGGCCAGCATCTATTCTCAAACCATGGCAGCTTCCAAATTGGATAAAGCATTTTTTCTTTTTAAATAGTTGCTGAGAAGTCTAAAGCTCATAATATGTGGTGCTCCTTATGCCTGATTTACATCTGTTGACAGACTATTTGTATCACAACAATTTAAACACAATATACAAGGGCAGGAATCAAAGCTAACCAGTTTCCTCATCAAGACAATTTCTGAGTGCCCAGTTTTCACAATTACCACACCCATAATGTAAAACTAACTTTAATTCTAAACAGTGTCTGTAGATTTGATGACAGCAACAAACTATCTGTTGAATGAAACTAGTCAACTGCTTGCCTCCACTAAACAGTGAATATGGAAGAATGAATGAGGACTTGAAAAACTTAAGAAACAAGTCATGATATGAAACGGATTCACATCTGTGCATTTTTGTCGCCTTCCCTAGTGCTTCTGAGATCTGTTTTTTTTTTTTTAAACTGATAACCAATATCATTGCAACATTAACCATCCCTTTAACACTAAAACTCGTACGGTGATTGTTAACTATATGAAACAGAAGAAACGGATGCCCTCATGTTAAAACTGCAACATGCGTCAAGCATCTCTGTGCACTTGGTGACTGTCCCGTCGACAAGCCAATCAAATCTGAACACAGGGTGACGGTCTCCCGCCCCCAAGCCAATCAACTCTATTCACCAGGTGACGGTCTCCGCCCACAAGCAGAAATTAAACATGATGCAGCATCAACACAAGAAATCAGCTTTGAATAAATAAATGTTTTATATTTCAAATACATATATACATCTGTGAAACTGAATATACCTAGCCGTTAATCACCAACAACTGAGAACAGCTGCTGACATCTTGCAAGTATGTACATCTCTATTGGTTTAGGGTCCAGCGGTTGCAAATTTTTCTGGGATCTGATGACTGATGGTAAAAAAAGCTAATAAACAATTGGCAACAGAAAATGATGTTAATGAAGAGGCACTCTGAAACGAGTGATGCTAATGAAGAGGCACTCTGCAACGAGTGATGTTAATGAACAGGCAACTGGACACGACAATAAGGCATAAAGAGAAAAAAATTGGCTAACTATTAAAAAACAATTCCTATCAATGAAAAACTCAAAATAATTGATGTTAATGAGTAGATGCAAACTGAAGTGAGGTATATGTACACTGCTAGACAAGATGATGGGCAGAATAACAAGAAGCTGAACTTTGTACTCTACCCCTATGTGATTCTCATACTCTTTGAAGGCAGTCAACAGTTCAGGAGGATGGAGACCTCAACAGAGACAAAGGAGGAAATCAATACCTCAGCCAATCCCCAGGGTCGGAACATCTCACTCAGTGCTTAGGTTCTATCAACATGTATATATTTACAGATGAATGCCACACATAAAATCTGTGCCTCTAAGGTGTTAGTCCATACATACAGACATGGCAAAACACCACAGGTGCAGATGTGGCAAACCCTAACTCTATGAATGCAAACCCTAATACTACAGATGCAGACGCGGGGGAAAAGCAACATTATAGATGCAGAACGCGGGAAAAAGCAACACTACAGATACAAACACGGCAATCCCCAATATTAGATGCCAACGTGGCAAAACCTAACATTATAGATGCAGACGCGGGGGGAAAGCAACATTATAGATGCAGACGCGGGGGGAAAGCAACATTACAGATGCAGAACGCGGGGGAAAAGCAACACTACAGATGCAAACGTGGGAAACCCCAACCCTATAGATGCAGTAATCCCCAGCATTAGATAGATGCAGACATGGTAAACCCTAACATTATAGATGCAGAAGCAAGAAAAGCAACACTACAGATGCAGGGGAAACAAGATGCAAACAATGGACACTAACACTTTACACACACTTGCAGCAAACACCAACACTATACACACGCAGCAAACCTAAACATTATACGCTATAGGCACAGGCAGGGCAAATACCAATATTGTCGCAGGTATAGGTGCAGCAAATATCACCAACAGCCAGGTTGAGATGCAACACCATGCAGACACACACCAACAGCATCTAAGCCCAGATATTCAGGTGCGCAGGTGACACAGGCAACTGACACTAGCACCAGCCATGTGCAGATAAATCAGACTTGACACTGTCAAAGATGATATCAAACACCAACCTTACCGAGGTAACTTGCACCAAATACAGCCCGTGACAATTCAGATACCAACACTCAAAGGTGTTTTTTTTTTTTTAAAACAGTCCCACGTGAGAAATCAAACAACAACCTTGCCCAGGTGACCTGCCCTAAATAACACAGCCCAGGTGTCCAACCTTGCCGCCACAACAACTCTACCCAGTGACAGACATTAAATAACAGCTCAAGAAAACATGAAACACACAACACAAACAAGGCAGCTAAAAGCCACCAGTTTTCTGTCTGGAGCTGACTGGACCAGCGATGGCAACCAT